AACTGCAGATAACAGTCAGCTGAAGTGGCCTGCAGTACTGCACCCTAACCACTGCGCCACCCCAGCTCGTTGTTATGTGAGGTCTACCAGTATGAGTTCTTACCTAATGAGTCCATGCTAATTCCCTGTTTTATCCCTCCTTCCTGCTGGGATTGCAACAGCAGTTGAACTTATATTTATATACCGCTTCACAGTGCTTTACCGCCCTCTCTAAGCGGTTTACAGAGTCAGCCTCTTGCCCCCAACAATCCGGGTCCTCATTTTACCCACCTCGGAAGGATGGAAGGCTGAGTCAACCTTGAACCTGGTGAGATTCAAACTGCCAAACTGCAAGCAGCAGGCTGTCAGCAGAAGTAGCCTGCAGTACTGCACTCTAACCACTGCGCCACCGTGGCTCAGGGATGGTTGCTGTCCAACAACAATAGGACAAAACTCAGGGATGAAATCCTAGCAAAAATAGTTCGGCTTAACCTGAATGTTAAATTCCTCCAGATTATTTCTATTGCATTGCCGTATTTTTCGGAGTGTAAGACGCACCGGAGTATAGGATACACCAAGATTTTGAAGAGGCAAATTTAAAAAAAAGGTTTTGCACTTTGCAAACCTCCCAAAAATGGCCCGTTTTCTTTTTTTGTCAAAAAAGGGGCATGGAGAGCCTTTAGGAGGCTTATAGAGTGCTCCCTAAAGGCTATGCATGGCCATTTTGGTGAAGGGTGTGGCGTTTCAGGAGGCAAAAAATGCTATATTCAGTGTATAAGATGCACCCAGATTTTCAGCCTCTTTTTTGAGGGAAAAATGTGCATCTTATACTCCGAAAAATACGGTAAGTTCAATTTGTTTTTTCTGTGAACTTTTCTGTATGATCAAATTACGGATTAAAAGGAATTCTTTGCTCGTCCACAGAAGGGGCCCGGCATCTGGACTTACCCTGCAAACGCTCGTACTTGGAACCGACCTCTTCCCCCGGAGATGACCCCTACTTTCGGTCACCACCGCCCTACGACCAACAAATGTTGAGCCCCGCGTACTGCAGCGACGTGACCTCACGGGAAGCGTGCATGTATTCCGGTTCGGAAATTGGAAGCATGTCGGGGGTGGAAGATCTGCCTCCCCCTCCCCCTCCTCCTCCTCCCCCACCTCCCCCACCCCCTCTGAGCTGCAATATGTGGACCTCCGTTGCACCTTACACCAGTTACAGTGTTCAAACCATGGAGACTGTCCCGTACCAGCCCTTCCCTGCTCATTTCACTGCCACCACCATGATGCCGCGCCTCCCACCCATCACCGGCCAAGGGTCCCAGCCGCCGGGCAACAGCCCTTTCGCCGTCTATAATCAACTCTCCCAACCCCGCGAAAGGATTCCTGGATCGTCCTTCCCTAGAGAACGGATGGGCGAGAGGAAGCTCCCGTCGCCCCACTTAAGCGCGGCCAACGAGTTTCTCTACTCCCAGACTTTCTCCTTGTCCAGGGAGCCCTCTTTACCGTATCATTCAGGAGTGGGCACAGTGGACAACTGGACTGACGGATGATTCCGCGTGTCATTGTGAGGATTCGATTCGCTGCTCCCGGACGGTTCATTCGGTGTGAATATCTACGGATGCCTTACATGCCCGCAGACCTGCGTTTGTGTGGGTGTTGGGAACTTTCTGCGCAATGGCAGAGAAACATTGTTGGGAGGGGTGGGGGGGTCAGTTCAGTGGAAGAGGTTTGCCTCAGCAACATGGACCCTGTCCCAGAGATCCAGTCAGGTATTTGCCTCTTAGAGAGACGCTCAGGCGCAAAGAATCAGAACTACAAATTAAGTTCCAGTTAAACTGATTTATTGCTCGTGCCTACGCACCAGAATCTGGCCAACTAACGTTCAGTACTAAATTGGTGGTGGAGAAAAGTCAATGGAATTCAAGAGGCTTAGTCTCCCATTTGGGGGAACATAACGATTCTAGGCTGATTCCTCTTTTGACTCTGCCTTGCCTTCTGTCACAGTTCCTAAAGTGCTCAAAGCATCATTTGATTATCTTTCTAAACCAGGGTCTTTCACTCTATCCAAGAAAAGTCGATTGATACAATTTGGGCTCCAGGATGTGAGGGCAGCGGGGGGAAAAAAACCCTTTTCCCCTCAGCTGCAGACGATTTACTCTCTTAGCCAGTGGTGGGATTCAAATAATTTAACACCCGGTTCTCTGTCCTAATGACTAGCTGGGTAGGCATGGCTCGGTGGTCATATGACTGGCTGGGCATGGCCAACTCAACATCACTCAGGTCGATGGGTGCTTCGCCTTAGCTGTTATAATGTCATAAGGGTTAACTGGAGAGGCAGTTTCTGTAAGCAGGGCACTAAAGATTAGGTTAGAAACAACACCAGAATGTTTCCTTCCTGCCTTCCTTACAGGATTAGCCCTGGAAAGTGGAAAAAAACAAAAAGAGATTTCTTCCAACAACCCGTTCTCCGAACTGCTTAGAAAGTTACTAACCGGTTCTCCCGAATAGGTGCGAACTGGCTGAATCCCACCACTGCTCTTACCAGAAAAACAAAACAAAACCCAACAACCTAAAACCAGCCTAATTTTTGCTGGCAAGTGTCACGTGTGGAAAAAACAGGAAGTCCAGGCAGTTAAATGAATATAAAGGTTTATGGCAAGCTGATGTTCGCTACAAGAATCTGAGCTACTAACGGTCAAAGCAAATTGGCGGTAGATAAGAGTCAGTGAATTCAGGGTGGGCTGGACTGACGTCCCTTGTGGGCACGAAGGGGTTCAAGACTGATGGTGCGTTTGACCCCTCCTTCGGGCTCAGCCTGGCCATCTACAGCAGGGGTGTCAAACTCAAAGCCCAAGGGCCAGATCCGGCCCACAGGATGCTTACATGTAGTCTGCGGGGCCGCCCTGGAAACAGCGAAGGACCGGCCCATAGTTCCTCTGCCAGAGAAAACGGAGTGGCCCGCCTTTTCGCAGCCGAAAACAGAGCTCAGGAGCCCGTTTTCTCTGACAGAGTGCTCAGGCCACCACAGACGTGACAAGAGTGACATTGAGCTGGCCATGCCCACCTGCCCCCCCCCCCGAGGTCAAACACAACCCCGATGCAGCCCTCCATGAAATCGAGTTTGACACCCCTGATTCTACAGCAAGCAAGATATGGCTCTGAGCATGAACAATGATGCCACTATGCGAGCCCCTTCCCACAATGGCGTCAGTCAGTCATGGTGACTGTCGTGTCAACAATGCACCAGGGGGCATCTGTGCAGTGAGGTCACTGCTGGATAAGCTTTGCACCAATCAGGTCCGATTTCAAAGTTGGAATGGGTTTTGTTGCTCACCTATTGGAAGGGCTTTCTCTCTGGGGAGGGAAAGCAGGGTTTTCTTCGAGAAAACAGGAAACCCACCTCCAATATCTTCCCCTTTCAACCCAGAAAGCCAGACACGGGTCTACATATTGAGCTCTGAAGCTTAACACTCTTCCTGGACTTTAGGGCAGGGAAAGTTTTGGTCGCCACAATATAAAAAGGACGTGGAGACTCTAGAAAGAGTGCAGAGAAGAGCAAGAAAGAGGATTAGGGGAGTGGAGACTAAAACATATGAAGAACGGTTGCAGGAAGTGGGTATGTCTATGAAAAGAAGGACTAGGGGAGACATGATAGCAGTCTTCCAATATCTCAGGGGTTGCCACAAAGAAGAGGGAG